CAGTCAGCAGCGACGCTGCCAGCCTCTGAGCGAGCTCACTCATGAATACATCAGTATGCACTCTGGCCGTGTTGTCTGCGGGTCGGTGGAAAACAACGCTAATGGCCCGTGGCCCCGTCGTGTACATGTCTACGATGACACTCACGAGTGTGAGCGAGCAAGAGTGCGAGACCACGGAAAAACCTCCGTACATGTGTGCGACTAGTTAGCCACACTATTGTTATCAGGAAAGGGCAAACCAGTGATGCCTTCACTGTCCTATGAGAAAGTCATGACCATCCATCCATCCATCCATCCAATGGTCACCATGTCTCAATCAGATGTCCATCCATCCATCCATTTCAGCCACTTATCTGGGGTCGCGGGGGCAGCAGTCTCCACCCAAATCACCCTGCACCGTACCTAAACCTTCCTGTAGGTGGTGAGTCCACTGGAAGGTACCAACCGCCCTAACCGGGATCCGAACTTGCCCAGGAGGTGAACCCTAAACCCCTAAATAGAAAATATTGGAACAAATTGTCAAAAAAGTGGAATTAAGTTTTGATAAAACTTTTATTTGGCATCAATGCACTGAAAAGTCTTTAGGTGTAAAGTGAATAAAAACAAATATTTATGAATTTTTGGCCGTGGGTACGGTGCAGTGTGATTTGGGTGGAGACTGCTGCCCCCGCGACCTGGTAACGGATAAGAGGATGAAAATGGATGGATGGATGGACACCTGATTGAGACATGGTGACCATCGGGTGGATGGATGGATGGATGGATGGATGAAGGATGGATGGATGAAGGATGGATGTTTATCAAACCTTTCATCCCTCGTGCCTTTCTCTGCGTGAACAAATCTGTTTTGGTGTCGGGGAGCTCCGCTGACGGAGACGAGAAGGTAAAAATATTGAGCCGCAGACTTTGATCTGATTTGTTGACAATAAAGAATAATGTGCAATAATCTCCGCCCCTGACTCTGTCACATTCAACATTTGTCACTTATGATTACCTCCAGCCTCGCGCGGTGCGGTGTTTTCCGACATCAATAATCCTCTCCCCAAAACAAATAGAGTTTATCGGGGCTATTTATCTGCCCCGCGAGAAAAATGTTTTTCTACTCGACTTCATCTCTTTTCATCCTCTTTATCGCTCTCTCTGATCGCAATCAAGACGACCGAGCCCGGAGGTTCCTCGTTAGTGGTCGTGTCAATGAGTCGGCCCGACTCTCCCCCATCACTCCTCGCTCTCCGTCTCTGTCTCCCTGGGCTGAGGCTTGTTTCGCATATCAAATATTAATCAAGTCAGGTGCAGAAGCAGTTGATCAGTTGTCCCTTCATTGATCCACCCGCTGAACTCGGCACTCATCCGTCTCCCGCCGCCGGAGTTATTTGTCAATTGGACCAAATGTGTAGTTTCAAGTCTGTTTTAAAAATCTTTCTCACCCTTTTTTTTTATACTTAAATATTGATCGACCATCACTTTGGCCAATGGTCCTGACAGAAAAGCAACTTTTGCACTAACCTTGACAGACTTCATTGATCCGCGGGGAACGTCTTGGAAGAGTCTTGATGCGTCTCACTGGATATACTGTAACTTATTACATTTTCCTGGTTTCAATCAACATTTTTCTTTTTTCAGGTCTTTAAAGTTTGTAGTCGGTCCAGAGAGTTGTGAAAGTGTAGCCAAAAAAATTAATCGGAAAAGACCTGAAAATAGAGGAATTGTTGTTTGATTTCTCAACTCCAAGAACCTGAAATAAACTGTAATTACGTCACATTTATCAGAACGTTTTCACACCTGTTTTTATCTAATAAACTGTAATTACGTCACATTTATCGGAACTTTTTCACACCTGTTTTTATCTCTAACTATTTCTTTATTGACTAACTAGACTAACTACCATAACTGCCCCGCCCTGAGGTGGGTCTGCCCCGAGCCGGGGAATCCGACCTAAGGTTGAAGTCTCCACAAACACATGCCAGGAGATGAGATGGTATTTTAAGATCAAGACTCTCCAGTGAAACAAAAAAGTTTCCCCACAATGTGTGCAAATAACAACTCAATTTGTATTGACTCTTTATTTGAACAATAATTTTAAAAAAGTACTGAATCTATACTGTAAATATTTGAAGTTCCTTATTGATCCCACAATGGAGAAATTCCCAGTCCTTATTCATCCCACAATGGAGAAATTGGGGCTGCCACACGGTAGATGAGGTTCCTCTAGAACTCGAACCCAAGACTTTGTGTGTGTAAGGCAGACGTGTAAGGCATCGTTCTGTCCATGAGTTAATATTATTTTATTTTATTACGCTGCTACTCCTTTGATGTTAGACCAAAGTACATCCCATCATGTAACATGTACTTGAAGTTGGGTTGGAGGGGATTCGATCATATAACCACCACCACCACTCCAGTCACAGACCTCCTCCTCACCTCAGGGCTTTTAATTGTGCCTTTTTTCTTTCTTTTTTTTTTTTTTACTCACACCTTTCAGTAGTTCCGCCTTCACACCTCCCTGGACGAATCAGGAAACAAACCAGTGTCCAACATATCGCACCCTCGAATCACAGCCACCGGTCAGATCCCAGTGTACGACAGAGTGAGGTGCACGAGCTGCAGCGAGATAATGAGTTTACAAGTCGAACCCGGAGCAACACCGGGCTGCCAGTGGAACAGATGTGACTGCGACTTGATTTCCCAACTGCAGCCCCAGAACTCATTTCACTTTGAATGGTTTCTGCTGGAGATAATCAGACGGCACCTTTTTCCAAAGGAGGTCCTGGTTTCAGACGTGCAGAAATTCAAATCCGGGCATCACGAAAAAAAAAAAAAAAAACCCCACTCCATTGTGCTGATACTCCTTTTAATCAGTGTAATACAGAACGGTTCAACTTTTATATAAACACCGGTAAAACAACTGAGCTGTTGGGACAAAAAACCTGTCTCCGCATGTTTGTTGTCTCCCAACCTGAGGGTTGGGGGTTTGATTACAGACTATGTACCTGCGGCTCCTTGGAAATGACACTTTAGATAGATAGATCGATCGATAGATCAATCAATCAATCGATTGATAGATACGTCCCAGGCTGAAAAGTTAAAGTACCGTTGCTCAAGAAAAGTATCCGAGTGAGGAACTTGTTAATGATCAAAAAAATATGGTATTTATTCCAGTAATGATGTGAATTTATCCAACGTTGTGACCCTGAGGGAGGCAGAATTTTTTTGTTTTATTTCAGGCAAAACAAAAATTGAACAAATCAAATTATTTCAGGCAAAACAAAAATTGAACAAAAATTCAAATGCATCCATTCGATTCTCACCGCAGATAAAAATCCTTTTTACAACGTATTGCTTTCTCCTGATTTCACTTAGTCAAATAATCTTGGACAAATTATCGCCTCCTTCCCAAGTCAACCTCTCCTCAAATCCATTTTCTCTTCCTCCTCCTCCTCCTCCTCCTCCTCTTCCTGTCATCTATTTCCTCCTCAGGTCTTCATTAAATCTTGATGGAGATGAGCGAAGCCAATAATCTTCAAACTCTGACTGAAATCAATAGATTTTCTCAGGCAGGAGACGAGGTGGTTTGGACGGCGGGGCCGGGTTATCAAATATTAAACAGCAGGTTTCTGGGTGGGTGGAGATGGACGGTGGGGGTGGGGGGGGTCAGGTGATGGTGATGGTGATGCAGTGTCTGACCTAATTATCATCTCCTGTTCACCTGTCAGCCCCCCAACCGCGGCTTCTCGCTGACTTTGACTTGTGGTGACAAACCACTTCTGGGGCAGTGCTTCGCTCGCCGGGAGCTTTATTCACGACGTCTTTTACTCTAATCATGACATGACGCATCTGCACCTGTCACGCACTTGAAGAGGATCATCTCAGCTCCGTGAAATATTGGTCACCACAAGCTCCAGAATGATTCCACTCAGCGGGAGCGCTGGCTGACGACCAGGCTCCTCCTTTAAAGTAACGCCGCGTTGTTTGCTACGTTGGTGTCGACTTTAGCCAATTGTGTAAAAAAGATGAAATAGCTTTTTTTTTTTTTTTTTTTGCCGTTCTTCTACAAATTTATCACAGTGTGTGAATGTCAGAGAAAACCAACACCTTATATTAGTTTTTCTTTTTTTTTTTTTTTCTTTTTGCTTTTCTGTGATTATACTTTCGTCTTGGTTTGTGATGCACAGCAGAAATCCCAGCATGCATTTCCTTGTCAAAAGTCAACAAAGTAATCAGAAATGATCTGTTTTTTTTTTTTAGATGATGTGCAGTGTTTTTACATTACATCAAAAACATAACCGCTCCTACCCCTGGTGGTAACTGATGGTAACTTTCTGTGCGTGTGTGCCCTGTTTGAATGTGAGTAATTTATTTTCAACTCTATTCTAAAAACATGGAGGACTCTCTAATTTAGCTCTTTAATTAGCCCTGTAAATTAAAAAGTTGATTAGTTTGGTGCAAGTATAACCTGACAAACTTGTTTTTGCAAATTTTTTTTTTTTTTACATTTTTTAAAATTCTTCAAATGGGCCGAATTGAACCTCCTAATGGGCCGGTTTCGTACATTTTTTAAAATTCTTCAAATGGGCTGAATTAAACCCCCTAAAGGGCCAGTTTCGGACCCGTGAGCCGTAAGTTTGACACCCCTGCTGTAGTCCATTGTCGTAGTAGAGTTGTGGGTCTGAACACAGGCCGGGCCTGTTTCCCACCACTACACCCTCACCTCACCGTTAAATCTCCATCTCCTGGTCAATGAGCCTTGAAGGTTCTTGAAGAAATAAGGAATCGATCCAACCTTTGAATCTGAACACGGACTGATGGGCGGGGGCCGGAGCTGCGGAGGGTCGGTGGGTCTGAGTGGATGATAGATAGCCTTCGACGATATATCACTGGAATATCGCCACAGTTTGAACGGATATTTGGAGAAAAATAATGTTTAAATCCACGAATTACACCTTTATTTTATTTTAATGTTTGTGTTTTCTTCTTCTTCTTCTTCTTCTTCTTCTCCCCAGTGCTGAGTCCATGTCCTGTGGCTGCAGCGTCAGCCCGCAGGTGTCACTTCATCTACAAGGGTTTCGCTCAGTGCCTGATGGCGTTGGGCGACAGTCTGACAGACAGCGCGCGCAAAGACGAGGACACGCACGAGATACACTCCATCTGCAGGTCAACACACACACACACACACACACACCGTGTGAGTTTTCAGGATTAAGAAAAAGACGCCGCCGCTGATCTCCGAATGCGAATTCAGAAGCTGCGGGAAAGAAAAGTTCAGACAAACGTTTTACATCTCCTCATATCTGATATCAATAAGGCACGGGCAGGAAACGCATCTGCACAACGCCACAAATCCACAACATCGAAGTCTTGGCCTTGTATTCACTGACTGGACACGGGCGAACAAAGTTAACGAAGGAGCTGCAGGTTTTTATGTCGGCTGTCGGTGAGCAGACGGATCAGATCGGTCTTTTTGTCTAATTACTGGGTAAAAAACGCTTTCTATTCAATTCAAATCATTTAAATCAGTGTCATTTTGGTCGATGGTCGACAAAAAATTTCTTCATTCTTCGTCTATGATTAAATGTGTATTTTTCATCCGTCTATTATATTCACTGATTACTATAATCACTACTACTAGTAGTACTACTACTAGTAGTACTACTACTGTAGTACTACTACTGCTACTCACAGTATTATTATTATATACAGTCATTATATTCAACTTGAATTTGTCTTTTTGAAACCTGTCATCTGGTTCGTTATGAGCTAGCTACACCATTTGTCCGCACCAGGACTGTTGTAGCTAACGTTAGCTCTGGTGTCTCTATCGGGACTGTTGTAACTAATTAGCTAAAGGTTAGCTGTGGTGTTCGTGCTCACAGTAACATGTTTTACACTGGGGAGACTCTGTTAGCCTTTAGTGCTGCAGCGTTTTTATATTAAATATGTACAAACCATGATCTTATCTAAGCCGACATCCTGAAGTAAATAAAAAAAAAAAGAAAAAGCTTTCCGTCCAACTAATGCAGTCTCGTCTTCTACCGCCGCTCACCGAACTTTCTGTCGCGCTAACGTCACTCACAGTTGGTCCAGTAGCAGTTTGTTCCACTCTGCGTCTCGCTCTGCTCCAGCCTTTCATTGTTTTGGCTAAAGGCCTGATGATGATGTTGATTAAAGATGCAGAAGATCTCTGCCTCCCCTCTCCACCCCTCCCCCTCTCCTCCACCCTTTTACTTTCTTGTTGCAGCTTCATTTCTCCACATCCCGCCTCCATCTGTCATCTCTGTCTGTCATCTCCTCTCACCAATCTATTTATACACACCTCTATCATCCATCTTTTGGAGGAAGTCGTATNNNCCATTAACGTGCGGGGGCTGTTAAAGTGGGATCACCGATCTGAGAGCAGCCGTGTTTCTGTCAAGTGAGATTTGTACAGCGGCAGACTGAGGAACCAGAACCAGGAAAGTGATCAATAAAGAATGTACGCACTGAGCATGGGGAGAAGAAGGGGTTAAAAAATGAAGTAAAAGTTACTGTGGAGTAGGTTTTTATTTAGCGATGTCCGATATTAGCATATAATACCAGTAAGAATCGTTATCATTTTTTTTCCTTTGTTAAGGAAAACCCGATCTGACCTAAAAATAGTTTTGTGGAAAAATGGCTGTATGTAGAAGTGAAATAGCAGCTTAGAGTACTCGCAGTCACATTACTGCCACCTACTGGTTCATTTTTAATTTTTTTTTTCTTTGTGAGAAGAAATATATGAACAGATATACATGAAAACTTAATGTGTATTGTATTCTCTATGAGAAGACAGTCGTGAGGGGAACTATTATTTTCACTGCGCTCGTACTGTCCTGTCCGTCCTGTATGTGGGATCGCAGTAACCTCAGTGAGCAGCGCAGTACTTGCAGTATCCTGCGACTTCAAACTTTAATGAGCAGCGCTGCGTCCAGTTCTTCTACAGAGTTTACAGATGAAACTTTTATCACTGTCAACAGTTAGAAATTTAAAAAATTAAAAATGTTTGGAAATGACACGACGCCACATTTTAATATCTGTGTTTGTGTGAGTGTGTGTGTCCATGGCTCCTGTGTTGCTCCTCTATTCCTTCAGGTACCAATTAAACTGTTAATCCTG